GAAAAATAGGTTAGCGTCAAATGTTAGCCGCTTACACAAATAGTTTACTGTTACTGTAAATCTTACCTTGACTTCCAGGACACCTCCGAAAGCCATACGGAAATCTCCATTGAAGTCCTTACTGAAAACTCTCTGGAAAGTTTGTTTGAAAAGTGATGTGTTGAAAGAGTCTCCCATCACAATGTGGCCCCTAATCAAGGAAGACAGATTGCATTTATAATAATTCTTTATAATAACAATGTTTCCAGTGTCTTGATATTAATAATTTAATGTCATTGCACTTGTTAAGCATAAAAAGTAATTTACTGCCTATATTTAATCTTTAAAGAGTCATTTTTGACCAGTGTAGCATCTTTTATATGTTTATGAGAATACAATGAGCAACAGAATCTAATTTTGTTATGCCAGTATAGGTAGGCTCTCTGTGGTGAGCCACCGTAGTCTCCTGTATTAATGAAAAACACTAAATAAAAAAAGTGACTTGCTGACGTACCCTGTAAGATTAGACAGGCATTTCATCTCCAGCAACCCAGTTTGGTCGAGGGCACATGCATAGATATCAATACTGTGGCCATTTACTGCTGAACGATTGGCCAATGCTTCGTAATACTGTGTAGACAAATACAAAATAACTTTATTTGAGCCCATAAATAAATACATGATTGGTGGTCTCATTGTGCTAATAATGTCATATATGATATTTGACAGATCACTTTTACCTTAGTTGCTTTTTTCAGATGTCTAGCATTGTCCTTCTGGATGTCATGCCATGAGCGGATTGGGGTTTTCAGTTCATCTCCCACCACCATGCCAGGGCCTTGGGTTGGCGGCCCTCCAATAAACAGCATCACACGAGCCCCCGTATTGGGAAATGTGCCCTGTGGGACACATCAGGAGAAGTTAGAGAGAGAAACACTCAGCTTTTACTGTAATGTAACAACAGCTTAATTGTAATCCTCCTTGTTTTTGTCTGGTGTCAAATACCTATTTGCGTTGTTGGATTTCTGAATTCTGAGTACTAAAGGACTCATGGTCTATTTCTCATGTTCAACTTTTTAAGGGAGAAATTAAATCTTGCCTTAATAACTAAAGCTGTGTAGGCAACAAAGCAGATTCCTGGAAGTCCACTTCCAAGGACAATAATGGTAAAAAGTAAAGTAAAGTAAAGTAAGTAAAAAAATACTTTGGGTAATAAAGTATTCATAGTGATTTCAGCCTTCTTCGACTGATGTGCATTATCTTAATGTCCCATTAAAATCAATGTAGACACTCTGGCAGAGCAAAGTGTACAAACTCTAATCAGCCCAGACATTCAAACTGTTCAAGTACAGAGAATCAGTGCTTGATCTATTCACTTATCAGTTATATAACCAGTCAGTGATAATATTTGTGCAAGAATACAGAAGGTAAAGCTAAGTGCTGACAACAACACAAGAGTACTATTAACTATTATGTATGCAAGTTTATTTGACAATTGCAACTTAAAAAGAAATTGATAAGTAGATAAATTGATAAAATTGACCAAAAATGTGGTTACCTCAAGCAAACCGACAGCCACAGACAGGGCAACTCCTGTAGAGCGCAGTGGTCGTTTGCCCTGAGGAACTGGCCAAGGGTCTCTCTGCAGTTCACCCAGAAGGTCGGTCAGGTTCATATCTACACGATGTACTGGCTGCAAGAACCTGCGCAAAAACAAGACTTGGGGTTAGGCCACAAAATTTGGACTACAGGATAAGAGACTTTCATATTCAGTTACTAGGTGGGATAAGGATATTTCTAATATTTTAATATATATACATTAATTAATAAGTAAAATTATTAGAAGTTAAGGCTAAATTAGGACTAAATTGAGAAGGACTCAAAATTTTATATCTTAAATATTGTAAGTAAAAGATTTTTCTTTTACTATTTATTAACTGCACAAACATAAAAGACTGCTGACACTGCTTTGACAAAAAAACAAAACAAAAATAAAAGTCTGCTGTGTCCATACCTGCAAGCAGAAGCGGGGTCCTGAGGAGCCATAGGACGCCCCTGCTGTCCTTGGGTAGCTGGCTTACTTAAACCTAACATCTCCTGTATAGAATAATAAATATTTAAAATTACATACAAATCTATAATATGTGTCATTATTAAATGTTCAAGCCTAAGAAAAGCTGCCACCAACCTGAATCTGTTTGGAGTTAAGGTCCTTGGTGCCCCTAAAAACATAACTTTTAGCAATGCCCTCACAGCTGAGCTCATGAACCTGAACCATGCGACCAAATGTGATGAGCCCCACTAGGGCATTGGGGGGTAAGAGGCTGAGGGACATCTGAAGGGACTCTTTGAGAGCTTGGAGATCCTCTTCTTCCAAACATGTGTCCACTACGTACAGGAAAATCAAAGGAGCTGGGGGCCCACGCTGAAACAAAATGTCAAATGTTTATAATACTGATAAGATGATATAAAAATAACTTACACACTTGGACAAACTGAGCTATTTACAGGAAATCTTCCAATATTCACCCTTTGCACAGAACAACTCCAGAACACACATACAACAAAAGGTTAGAGTGCAGATATGTATATTTACCTGTACTATGTACTCAATGGTAGAGAACTGTGGCATGAGTTCAGCTGGCTGGTTTACCTCTGAAATGCCAGCATAAGACGGTGGAAACTGCAGACAGACAGCTCAAAATTACAAACTTCCTCTCATCCTCTATAAATGTACACTGTCCAAATAATATCCACATAAATATTAAATACAAAACTTACAGGGTTTCTTTGAAAACAGAAGTTGCAAGCCCATATTTTTGCTCTGAAGTCGACTTGACTATAAAATGAAAAAAATGTATTAAAAAAAGGAATAATTACAGTGTTGTATTGTATTAAACTAAAACCATTTCTAATTTAATATATTTCTAACAAATTCTACTTATGTCCTTGTTTATGAAATATATACATTCAAGAACTAAATGTTTAATAATTGTACAATAAAACAAAACAAATTGCATTTTCTTTCTTTTTTTTTTTTTTTTTTTAAACTTACCATAATGGATTAAGCACAGCCTTGCAGTTTGCCCGGCTGCAGAGCACTGGCTCATACTGGACAGGGGGCAGGTCTGGTCTTTCTTTGAGGGGAGTGAAGAGGCAAGAGACAGGGACCACGAGCCGAGTGGCTTCAAGGCGACTAGATGGCCACAGGTTCCAGCTGAATCTCACCCCATCCCTGTCCTCGTTCTGTTGGATAAACTCCTGGTAGGTTGTCATAGTGAAGCTGAGAAAAGAAAGAGCCAAAAATCCAACAGTGAAGTATCTTATCTTCAGAAAGGACTGATCTTCCCTCCCAACTTCTCTCAGTCAGTCTGTTCTAGTGATTTCAGTAGGCTTCGCTTTATACAAGTGCTTTTTTGTCTCCCATTCTTAAAATCTACGTAGTTCCTCCAAGTATGACGCACAGGTGTGTTGCTGGAAACCTGATCAGCTTGTTTTGATGGAGTGTGATACAATGCTGAAAATAGAAAACAATTCACTGAACTACACCTTTGTGGGTGGTAACTACGATAAATGTGTAATCCTGCCTTTCACGTGGCATACAAATCTGTGCCGTGTTTCGTGGTAACATTTGGTTGGTAGCATTTAAAAGGAAAATTATTTGATAATTAAAATATTAGAATAGGACTTCTATAGAACATCTATCCTGTCAGAACAGTTATTTGACAAGCTACTGTAAAATGGCGATAGTTAAGTAGTGGTGACCAATTATTACATATGCCATTGCCATAATGCTACTGCCAAAATAAGTTATAAATAATAAAAAGGAATAAATGTCAAAGACAAATACTTGTACAATTGCCATTAAGTGGTATATGACAGCTGTAGTAACAACAAATAAATAAATAAAAAAACTAAAAAAGTAGAAGTGATTTAGTACAAAATAGAATGATAGAGCGCTTTTATCATGTAACTATCACACTGATTGAATTCAAGGGTCAAGTAGATAATAAACAAACGCTAGAACTCCCCTGACAGCTTGGCAACCACAGAAGGTTAGGGTCATTTTTACTTTAACTTGTGTTAATGTGTTCTCCCCAAAAAAGAAAAGTAAAAGCATACAATTTTACGTTTATTATAGGTCCCTTGGTACGCAAAAACTAACACGTTGACATCTCAATAAACAAACTACTGGAACTGGGTTTATGGGGTTGATTGGTGATTTAAAATTAAGTGTTTGTTCCATTTCTCTGTTTATTTCAGATGATCAGTGTTAAAATATTGATGAAAGCTAAAGACCTAGCCAGTTAGCTAACGGAATGTAGCATCAACCCATTTCGCCTCGTTTCATCAAAGAAGGCGATAAAAAACATAACCATAACCATAAACCGAAATCTTACCTCTTTATATTTCCACTCAAAGATCGTGCTGTGCTCCAAAGATCAGAGCATTTGAGGGTATGGTGGACACAGGAGGACCGAAACAGACGGAGCAGGGATCGCGCAGCCGGCTTCACTTTACTAGAGTGACGTGTTACTCCACAATGCGGACTTCCTTATTGGCTGTGCTTCCATGACGTCAGCGCGTCGATGCCTGCTGCCTGGCGTAAGCATGGGCGTACGTTACTCTACAGTCTATGATTATATGATTATATGATTACACTGCATTAACTAATGATAGAACAGCAGCTTTATATATATATATATATATATATATATATATATATATATATATATATATATATATATATATATATATATATATATATATATATATATATATATATATATATATATAATAATTTTATATTTACAGTTTTAATAGCACATTAGCTAAGCTGAAACTGGAGGTGCATATTAATAATCACCGTTAAACCTTCTCATTGGACAGTTTGGTTTACTTCAAATACTGTCTGGTGTAGGCCTGCTAGGTCTAATTGTTAGTATGTTAGTATGGCCGCTAGATGGCGCGTGGATCCTTTTATATATCTGAAGTAACCACGAGAGCTCTAGATGGAGCCAAAGAGAGGGAGCCCTCCTCACGCAGCCTCCTCTCAAACTGAACACAGCCCATCTGTTGGCAGGTGTGTATAGACTCTCTCCTCTGAAGCTCCACTCACTACAGGCTACGTCCTGCATTGGATTTGGGCTTGTTATCTGGAACAAACGGCTAATTTCACGTTTATTTTTGCATCTATTCTGAAGCTACCTCTGATCTGAGGATGTTGCAGCGATAGGCAGAAGCTTCCTCTTTTTATTGTCACACTCAGCCGGCATCCTCAGCTGTTGCTCCGCAGAGTAATAAGTCGGAAGCAACAGAAAAGGCCAAACTATGCGACTGGGTACCAGACGGTAGCCGGATCCACGCTATATCCGACTCTGGAGCGGATGCGAGCAAAGGTTGCTCGTGAGCAGAGGAGTATTTTCGCTTTGTTGGAGTCGGAGCCGTGCCCATGGAGAAGGCGACTCCACCGCCCCAGCCACAGCCCCAGGTCCAGCTGTCGATAGCGAAAACCGAAAGTCCCGCGGAGGACATCTCGGGTCTCACGGACGATGAGCTGCAAAAGTGGAGCAAAGAGGAGCTGGTGCGAAGGCTCAGACGCTCCGAGGCCGACAAGATGAGCGTGATCCTGGACCACGGCAATCTTATCCGAGAGGTCAACCGTAGCCTACAGCTTCACTTGAACGAGATCAGGGGGCTCAAGGTGAGGGGGCGCAGAGAAGATGAGATCATAGCTTTAACGCACACCTGGACACGCGCACAGAATGTTCAGGTGTTTTAGGAGACTGACCATTAACTCTTAAGCTTGTGATTGACAGTGGTTGCACTACTGAATTGCCACTTAACTTTTCCGTAGACAAAACATGCCTCTACAGCACACCATTTAGGCCGCTTTAAAGAAGTACTTGGAGAGGCGATATAAAAGGAGTGCCCTCCTCTCCACCTTTAAAAATCTGCTGTCCAGATTTCTCTTTGTGTCTATTCTTAGACTAGCTGCCACAGCTTACATTCCTGGAGTCCTGCATATTATAAGCAATGCAGTTTCTGTTAAAACAACATTACATTTCATAGTTTGTAGAATAGATGTTTGGTGTCAGAAGGGTGACATTGTTTGCAGGTTATATAAATAACAGCCTGTCCGCAGATCCAAGCTGCTAATTACACTGTGAAAAGCTGCAGGGTAAAGAGCAGCATAAAGCTGGAGCATACAGGGGAGATGTGTGCCATCACTGGTTTACTCACATACTACAACTATTACTAACAGAGCTACAGCTGCTTTATAACTTAATTGAATTCAATGCGTTTTACATTTTTTAATAGCCTAATAATAATGCCTTACAATTGTAATGAACTTAATAAGCTTGTTTTATAAGCTTCCCAAAGTGCCACATTCTAATCATGTTGGTACTTCTTTAGCCATAGCTGCCTTGGGGTAGACTGATGGAAATGAGGCTGCCAAGATGTGCCATCAGCTAATTCATTAATCATTCATGCACCCACATTGATGATTGAGAGATTACTACTCATGTTGTACTATTACTACTACTACTACTACTACTACTACATTACAAACAACTTTAAGTTACAATATGAAATACCTTTAAATATTTATATACTGAGGGTAGGTCAAACAATGACACAGTAAATGTATTTTTATATTTTTGCATTGCTCTGTGCCCACTCCATTCCTTTTTTTTTCTTTTTTTTTTCCCTAGGACATTAACCAGAAGCTGCAGGAAGACAATCGTGAGCTGCGGGACTTGTGCTGTTTCCTTGACGATGACCGCCAGAAAGGCAAACGTGTGTCCCGAGAGTGGCAGCGTTTAGGCCGCTACAGCGCTAGCATCATGCGCAAAGAAGTCTCACTGTACCTCCAGAAACTGAAGGAGCTGGAGCAGCGCCAGGAGGATGTCATCCGGGAGAATATGGAGCTAAAGGAGCTTTGTTTGATGCTGGATGAAGAGAAAGGCTTGGCATCAGGAGGAGGAGGAGGCGGGACCGGAAGTGGAGGTGGCATAGGGGGCTGCCGTAACTCCATAGATAGTCAGAACAGTCTGTTGTTGGTGCCTGGACAAGGACTTCTCATGAGAGATGTGGGAGATGGTAGCAGTACGTCCAGTGCAGGTAGCGCTGAGAGTTCAGACCATCCACATCACAAGCAAACGCATCTGACTGTGGGCGTGGCCAGTGTGAGTAGCACTGGAGACAAGGGCAGCCCAGAGATAGTGCACAAACCAAGGTGCAGCAGCATCAGTGCGATAGGGGGTATAACCGGTTTAGACAGGGACATGTCCAGCCCTGAGCACCCTGCTGGACGCCACCGCAGCACCAGCTTAGAGTACCCCTACACTCTACCCCAGCTGTGCCGACCTCGCTGCGGGTCCATCTCTGTGCCTGACCATAGCCGAGTCATGAGGGGACTGAGCCCAGAGAAATATGGCAGGAATATTGGGGGGAGGAGTCCGGAGCAGCACCCAAAGCATCACAGCTCTGATCTAGTCCTAGGGCAGAGGCAGCACTATCTGGGCACGGGGGGCAGCGGGGAGCTCTTCCAAAGGCACCACAGGAGTAGCATCAGCAGTACAGGATGTGGGAGTCCTGAACATCGCCAGGGGCATCTAGGGTCATCTGAGCTTCACGAGAAAAGTTTTGTGGTCCAAGGAGGGAGCCCTGAGACACACCGGCACCAGTATAGTATGAGCCCAGACCATGCCAAGTTTGGGAGCCCAGGCAGAGAGGGCCAGAGGAGGGCCAACACGGACGAACTGTCACCTCACCATCGGACCATTTACAACGGCATGAATGGTAGGTTTGCGTGCACGTTCGCCATATTGGAATATTAGCTCTCCAACTAAAATGGCAATTTTTCAAGAGAATATTCAATATCTAGTATTATTACCTGTTTAAACAAAACAGGCATTTGGTTTGTTACTTAATCTCCTTTTTTGCTAAATATTTTCTGAAACCAGTTGTGCAAGGTTGTGAAACACTGAGACCTTTACAGAATAAGGAAATATTTTTTTCCAATATTTTGCTACAATTGTTTTGCAATATTGATTTTGTGTTGAGATGTGGGTTGGTTATGTAGCAAAGAATGGAAACACAGTTTTTCAATATATCTAGTGATGGTTAAAATATACTTTCTGAAAATAGCTGTGTTGTTCCCACTGTCAGAAACCACAATGTCATTGTATTGCTGGCTCTTCCATGCAGCATGGTGGTCTCTGTGAAGTCCGTTAGGCTTAAGCATGTAGGAGTGGAGGAGGAATTTCAAAGTAGTGACTTGGCTGCGCTTTAAATACCCCATGGTGGCCGATAATGATTTCTCAGGTCCGGGGAAAAGTGCTGAGTGGCATAATGCTGGCAGAAGATAAAGGACAAACTATTCAAGGTGAAATATTAGCTGGAATGCAACCACTCTGAAGTTACAGGAGACAAGGAGGCTTCATAAATAATGTAAACTGATATGTTTTTTAGAAGGCAAATGTGACTTCCCTGTGTAATGCAAATTTTCATGGTTATTAAATTGATTATTATTGATTGATTGATGATGATGATTATTATTATAGTACTTCCTCTTTCAATTGCTTTGGGTGTCTTATAGGTGCTATATAATTCTAGTTCATTATTATTATTATTAATAGTAGTAGTAGTAGTAGTATTAGTATTACCCATTTTGTATTTGCTTAAAATCTTTGCACAGTATTGACTTTATGTATGACCTTACCTAGCTATCCTTCCTGGCAGCAGACACGGACAACTTTTGATTTTGATCTGCTTTTTTAGCTTGTGACCGCAGAGCACTCTTGTAGTTCCATAGGGGTTTTAGTCTTGATGCAACCTGAAACCCTGCAGTAGGGAGTCTGTATACAGGCCCCACAGTATTACTGCATTGGAAATCCTCAGCAGACTGTTGTGAGAGCATGGTACTATCAGACAGTAACCTTTAAATGTGTTGAAAAAATAGGAGATGTTTTGCAGTATGGATTGGCAGTTTGATGAGTGATCAAATGAAACGATGAGTGAATTTGATGAGTACATATATCTCACAGAAAGTCAGTCTATAATTTTATTTTAGTCTCTTGTTATATATTTTTGCTCACTTTGAGTCTTATAATCCCTCGGCCAGATCCTGTTGTTGTTTCTTCTCCTGTGTGGGGATGACTATTGACTGTATATAAATATATGGGGTGATCAAGTTATTGTGGATATTGACCGCTGAAGACCCTGTCAATATCTGGGCTAGTTATAAAAATTCCACAATACAGCATTGGAGGAGTATAGGGCTGTTTACAGGCAGGCTTGTGAGTTGTCTTTCATAAATGGATTGGTTTATGGTTGGTAGATATTTAGTTGTTCATCATGTTTGCATTAAAAGTGTAGATGAAGTAACGTGCTTGGTTATGTGTCACGCTCTGACCCATGCTGACAGCCGTGCCCTTTTTTTGGATGGAGAGCGATTTTAATTCCTGTGACAGTGTAGTGCACTCCACTTGGTTGGATTATCCCCTAAGCCTTTTGCTGAGTATTATTATGCACAAACAGTGTTTGGTTGATGCACTGCCACGTCTTACTCAGGGTCACTACTGGAGCCTTTTATTTGGACAAATGAAAGAGAAGCATTTGCAACAGAAGCTCAGGCAATTTAGACTGAGGCAAAATCCTAAATAAATACAAACAACAATGTCACTGCTCTGACCTTTTAATACAAAGTTCTGTCGCCTCTTCTCACAGCTTACCAGGCATGCCCAAGTTCACAACTTCATACTCGCTATATTAGGACCATTTTCACAATTTTCTAAATAGTAATGTATACTGGGCCATAAAGACATGAACAAATACAACAAATCTGACAATACAACTGCCCTGACCCATATTTTATTATGAAACTGGATTGTAAAGTATATGTAACTCTAAGCAGCATAAACGCTGTAACCTGCCAATTCAGTAGTGACCCAGATCAAACATCTGTCTTTTCTGCAGCGATAGCATCTCATTTTGTGGACCATAGTAATCCTCTGCAGCCTCCTGACCCAGACTGAAGGCCTGACTGTTCACTATAAGCCAATAAGATGTACGCGCCACAGTGGGGTTATTTCAAAAGGAAAAAATACTTAATCATGTTTTCTGCTTTAGTAATCGCTGGTTCTGCATATTAGCTTAAGCTGTGGTGATAATCAGACAGAGGAAGGAGCACTATGGGTGCATCTCTGCCCTTGTGATGCAACTATGCCACACACACATTTCTTCTGTAACAAAACCCATACACAGTTAAGCTGCATGCATGGGTCAGACATAGGGCTGCAAAGAGAAAGACTGCAATTTAGATAATAGAATGTCCTTTGTAAAGAGCAAATACTATCTAGAAGAACCGTATCTGTGGTATAGACCTCAACAAACATTTTTTGAAATGCATGGGATTCTTGCGTTAGTTTATAATTTTAGATTTCAATCTTCTCTGAAATGTTAATGCTCCCAGGAGTTGTTTACAACATGCACTCTGAACAGAATCCTATCAAACATAAATCACAAGTCTGTAATTGCAATTCATTTTTTTTCAATAAATTATGGAGCTCTAGTCCAGTTTGACCACTTTTTCTTTTGCATATGATCTTCTTATGATTGTCCATAGTTTAATAGTTTTGTGCCTTTTCATGTTTTGTATTTAACCACAATTTAATTAAGAAAGCTTATCCAGTAATACCAGTAACTTTCTTTCATTCACAGTCATAATTATACCAATGATTCAACCCTTCAGCTTATTATAACCAAGTGCCTGCCAGTGCAACCGGAAATCGTCTCTAAAACTCCGGCCCCAAGATAATGTATAGTGCCTCTCACCAGTCGTGCTTAAAATCCAGCTATCTCTCTTCTCTTCGTCTTTCCCTAATTGGCTGCCAATGTGAATCGCAGCTGTCCGGCCGAGAGAGAAGTCTGATTACAAAGACCTCAGAGGAAGTGCAGAGAGCCAGCCTGAGCTATGGAAGAAAGAACTGGAGGAAGTGTTTGAGTGGATTACTGGCTGTTTGCTCCCTCCTCTCAGTACATCTCCCTTTGGCTTCATTCGCATCAGAAGCACCAGGCAAGTGGACGGAAAGCCTCTTCTCCATGAAGAGTGACGTCAAATGGGGGAGAATAGAGCCACAGCTTGTCAGAATGGGGCTGGTATTATAGAATCTTATTTTAAAGCATTGCTGAAATATTTTTGTAAATGCTCATTGTTTGTCTGTCCTGTTTTCTGAAATACCCCCTGAACTGTCATTTCAAGTGCAAAGAACACAACCTTTGCTAATAATAAATAAATAAATAAATAAATGAGAGAGAGATTTGAGAATAAACTGTTAATACAGTTTGTACATTATAGTTGAATATGGGCAAATAACCAATAACCAGTAAATGTATGCCTTTGTACCAATAATCTCACTGGCCCCTCCCCTTCTCCAAGTCAAATCAATCAATCAATAGACTGACCCCCTGTAAAAACAAACAAACAAACAAACAAACAAAAAAAGACAATCTGTTTGTTGTGGACAAATTACTTTACTTAGTTTATTTGTGATGGGGAATAAAGGGTGCAAAATCTGTTTCCATAATCACAATTATGTGCTCTACCTCAAATTTGAGGTATAACAAAGTATTAAAATGTTGAATTAGTTCATGTTTATGATGCTTGCTGTTCTGCCAGGGGAGGGCTAAGCAGGGAGGGGCTGTGTGGTGGGAGCATGGGAAGCATCCTCTTATAAAGACTGGGTGGGCATCTCTGGTACTGCAACTGGTTCAAATTATATCTAGAAGACAGAAAGTATTCTGTTGAAATTATGGATGCAAAACAATTTTCTCCAGCTAAACTCAGACAAGACAGAAGTCATAGTCTTTGGCCCACAGAAAGACAAGTGTCAGCAGTCACCTCCAGTCTCTCTCTACAACCTTCAAATCAGGCTAGAAATCTAATCAATCTAATCTAATCAAATCAATAATATCTGAGGCCTTTTACCATCTAAAAAACATAGCAAAAATCAAAGGTATACTGTCTAAAGCGACTTGGAGAGACTTATCCATGCGTTTCTCCAGTAGATTAGACTACTGTAATGGCCTGCTCACTGGCCTCTCCAAACGAGCTGTGAGACAGCTGTAGTACATCCAGAACATACAGTAGCCAATACCACATACCTGGGCTGGAGGACACAGGGACACTCCTCTGTCTGCTCAGACAAAGAGTCCCAAAACTCATGAGCCAGGTGAATGATCTTTGGGTCCTTGGGGGAAACAGACAAGTCAAATGAGCTGAACATTCATTTCAAACAGACATGATTATGAACAGTGTTTGTGACCTACAGAAAGTTTTCAGGGATGTCTTCAGGACACACGAGGAGCCGCCTTGCCCCAAACACAGTGTCTCCCATTTTGAACGTGTTCATAACATCTCAAGTCTGAGACAAACAGAAGAATCAGATCAGCATTAGTGCACAGGACTGGAATTTAAAGATTGAACATCTTACAAAATTCAGAAGAGGTCTGGCTTCCTCTTCATCTTTCTCCTTCATCTCAAAGTCCCACATCTGAACACGGATAAACCTCTTTGCCCGCTCCTGCACTGCCCTGATCATGTGGTCAGTAGTGACCACAGTGGACAGGAGGCCCTCCTCCTGCTTCCTCAAGAGGTGCAGGACCATAACAATCTGAGGGACACCCCAAAACAAAAACACTTAAGTGTCCACTAATCAACCTTTTCTGACAGAAATGCAAAATGAGAGTGATACTTATGGTGACTTTATACAAGGGTAAGGTCTCTTCCATATCGGGGT